GAGGACAGGGTTTGGACTTCTTTTTGGGGACGGGAAAAGAAAGCGAATCTCTATGGACAACACAGAGTACAGAGTTCAACTGTGCAGGCGTACTATTTCAAGCATTCTGGTATGACAAGAAGTGACAGTAAGCTCTCCATTGCTGTCGGTTCGCAGCCATGACCTTCAGTGTCTCCAACCATGCGGTTTCGGAGTCTTTTGGACCCCAACACGGAAGATGAAAGATACCTACTCTATCCAATCGCTCTGTGCATTTGTTCACGCCTCGTCTCCACGTCATCTGCTGGCCTCCACATGGCTTTCTCCAGCCAGTAACAGCCACTACAAACAAGGCGCGCTGCGGTAGGCGACCGTCGGACATACGCAAACCGTGTCCTAAACAACGGAGCCAGTCGAGCTGGATTCGATGCGATAGCGAGTTCTTGTTTGATATATTCCCAAACACCCGACGACTTATAAGTTATTAACCCGCTCATTCCATCCAACCTGAGCCAGACTACGTAGGCATCGATTGTCGAACACTGCTAACCGACGAGTGTCTTTTACCCGGAAGTTCAAGGTCTCACAACTGTAAAGTAAAACTGATCGTACGGTGACGCTGTATACGCCACTTTTCAATGTCAGTGAAACTTCACGTCGCCGCCATATGTGATTACTTCCTGCGTATGCTGCTCGAGCCTTGGAAGTGCCGACGGTTATCTCTTTTGATGCGCTACCATCGTTTGTCACGCAGCTACCCAAGTACGAGAAGCAGTCAACTTCAGCTAATTCCTGACCGTCTAATTTCAGAACAGAACTCGCAACATCCAGTCTTGTAGCATCACTCTGCACTTTGAAGGTGCAAAGTACATGCCGAACGGAGCGACAGAACTTGCTAATCTGCCAAGTGCTTTTGTGCATCTTCCATACATTTGAACAAACAGACGATATCATCAGCGTACTCCAAATCACACAGCTTTTCTCCAGCTGCCCATTCAATACCTACATTTTGGAGATCACTAAGTGCGTTCTCCAGTGTTTCGTCCATGACGAGTGAACCCATAAGGGATTCACGATCATCTGAGTCGAAGGATTGTTTTAGGTCAAGGAATACGACAACCGTTGGCCGACGGTGCGTATGGCGTAGCTCGAGGAATTGGCGTAGGAGGAAGATTTGGTCAGTGCAACCGGTACAACCTGGTCGAACTCCTGCTTGTTGTTCGCGGATGTTTGTTTCCCTAAACGGCGTCAGACGTCAAAGTATAATGGAGGCTAGTAACTTCGTGACGATTGGGATCAAAATTATTCCACGACGGTTTGCGCAGTCGTTGCAAGATCCCTTCTTAAAAATTGAAATGATCAGTGAATCTTTCCACAATGATGGACTGCGCTCGTGTGACTAGATACCACGCATTAGAACAGTAATGGAGTCTACGAGGTCATCGCCCCCCATCTGGAAAAGAGTGGGAGGGAGCCTGTTCGGCCCTGCTGCTTTTCCAATCTTCAGGTATTGGATGCAAGAACGAACTTCTGCTGCAGTAGGAGTTTCAGATGACACTGCCCACGGATCCTCAGCTACACCGGGGGAGATAGCCTGGTTAGCGCCTGGCCAGCTGAACTGCTCGTTGAAGTACTCCGCCCACCGGTCAAGCCGTCGTTCTCTTATTTGAATAGCCTGTCCACTTTTGTCACAGATTGTTTCATTAGCTGTGGTTCGTCGACCTCCTGTATTGCGTGTCATTTGGAAGTCTCTGATTATCCCCTGATTCAGCCGCTACTTCCATTTCACTAGCTATTGTTGCCCACCAGTTCTCACGGTCTTGCTTGAGGTTCTTCTTCAGTTGAAGTTGCAGACGCCACGTAACCCTGATTCGTTCCCGGGTGTTTCGGATTTGCCGCTTTTTCTTCATCAGTGCTACTGACTCATCAGATATCCAATGCCTCGCGCGAGCTACCGTTTCCGATCCACAAACAACATTCGCTGCGGAGTGCATTGTTTGGCTAATCTGATATCATTGTTAATTTACACTACTACCCTTTTTGCTTTTGCACTAGTTCTGATTCAAAACGAACACGAACGGCTGAGTCAGATAAGCGATGATCTGCCAATCGAGTTTGGTGGCATTTTCTGCGACCAGTGAGTTGGAGGGTGAACTGCATCAAAACTAACACATGATCAGATTTACCGCAGGTGTTATAATAGGGCCTGCAGTTTTGTACTGAGCCACGCCAACGGTAGCTTACTGCTAT